TTGGGTTTATACCCCGCCCTTCACTTGGAGTCTCTGAGCGGCTTACAAACTCCTTTCCCTTCCCCTCCCCATAACAGACACCCTGTGAGGTGGGTGGGGCTGAGAGAACTCTGGCAGAAACTGCTCTTGAGAGAACTTGTGACTGACCCAAAATCACACCAGCAGCTACATGTGGAGGCGTGGGGAATCAAACCCGGTTGTCTAGATTAGGGCCCCCCACTCTTAAGAAGAAGAGATGGGATTTATGCCCCGCCCTTCACTACCCAAGGGAGTCTCAGAGCGGCTTACAAACTCCTTTCCCTCCCCCTCCCCACAACAGACACCCTGTGAGGTAGGCGGGGCTGAGAGAGCTCTTGACAGAAACTGCTTTTTTTCAAGGACAGCCCTGAGAGAATTTATGGCTGACCCAAGGAGTGGGGGAATCAAACCCAGTTCTCCCAGATTACATACTTAACCACTATGCCAGCCTGTGTGTGTGTGGGAGAGACCCGGTGCTCAGGCGGCGACAGACGTGACAGTGCGCCGTTCTGCATCCCTCTCGAATGGCTGGAGCCGGGAGTCCAGTGTAGTTGTCCGTGCTCCCTCTGATTCCTGCAAGCAGAAATCCTACTTTGCGAGTTCCTGGCATTAAAGTGGTGGGCAGGGTGATCTGGCTGCTGCCTAAATCGGTTGGCTCTGGAGTCCTCCTTCCTGGGCAAAGACAAAAAATGTGTGTGCTGGAGGCTAAGAAACTGTGAGCTGGCTCACACTAGCTTAGCTTAGGGGGAACACTGGCTACAATGCTTCCTCCGAGCTGTGGAGTCCTGTGAGCCAGCTCCTGGTTCAAAGTGTTGAACCAAAGAGGCAGTGTGGTGTAGTGGTGAAGAGCAGCAGACTCTAATATGAAGAACCGGGTTTGATTCCCCACTTCTCCACCTTGACCCCGAATTGCAATCACACAGTCAGAGTCCAATGAGTTAGAAGAATATCTGTTTATTGCAATTAAAACGGGAAATTACGATTAAACCAGGAAGGGCAGAGGGTCTTATACCCCAAATGACATCACACATAATTTACACATTCAAGGACCTTTAATTGGTACCAAGCAGTTAACATCATAAAAGCATCATTTGGCTCTAAACCTTACTATTGGTCTCTCCTGATACTGGTCATGTATGTCAGTGATTGCATTTGTTTATCTGGTCTTCAGAACAATGGGAACATTAGAGAACACTGGGATCCTTTCTGGCCTCGCTTATGGAGACCTAGCTGATAAGGACTATGATTCACATTAAACTTGGCTCTTGGTGTCCTTGCAGCTCCTAATTCATCCTACAAAAAAAATGAAATTATAAAATATATATGTTCTGCTATAAGTTTCTCTAATTAGAAGATTCTAGGTTACATACCAAGGTCAGAATCTATTATGATTCAACTATTAAAGGCACAGTGACAGCTGTCAATATATATATATATATTTCAGCGTGTCAGAAATCACATTGTTTTTCCTTTGTCCTACAACCTGAAGCATGCTGGGTGACCTTGGGCCAGTCACAGTTTTCTCAGAAAACTCTCAGCCCCACCTGTCTCACAAGGTGCCTGTTGTGGAGAGAAGAAAGGAAAGGTGATTGTAAGCTGCTTTGAGACTCCTTAGGGTAAAGTAAAGCAGGGTATAGAAACCAACTCTTTTTCTTCTTCTTGACCCACTTTTTCTATGCAGTGTTAGAACAGAAAATATTTGTTTGTGGGCATGCCTAAAGCTTTCCCAGTATCTTTTGTGCTAGTATTTATCTGTAGGTGTGCAGGTTTGTCAAGTGCGTTTTTTATTCCATTCTTCTCCAGGAAGCCCGGTGGTTCTGCTCTGTTCTCTTATGTTCACAACAACCCTGTGAGGGACAATAGAGAGTAATTAAACCCTGTTCACCCAGTGTTCTTTGTGGTGGAGTTGGGATTTGAACCTGGTTCTCTCAGATCGTAGTCAGATGCTCTAAAGCACTGTACAATACTGATCTATGCATAAAGTCACTTATTTGGAAAATGGAGTGCTAGATATGCATATATTGTGGTTTTTATAATATTAAAATATTTATTTTGCTTATATTCCGTGTTTTTCCCTAGTAGGGACCGAAAGGGGCTTACAACATTTTCCCTTTCACTGTCTTATTTTCACAAGAACACTGTGAGATATGGTTAGGCTAAAAGTGTGTGACTTGCCCAAGGTCACTTTGATATAGGCCCTTTTTTGAAGCTGAGAATATACCCACACTGCCTCTTTGATGAATTTGGGGGACCTGTTTGGTTTCGTGATGAAAGTCTTATCAGTTACAAGATGTTCTTATGGAAAGAAGCGTAAAGACTTTGGGTTGCTGCTGTGAGGTAAGTTTTGTGTTGAGCATGAGGAGTACGTTAGGCCACAGTGGCTCAGAGATTAAGACGCTGAACTGCAGACCAGAAGGTAGCTTGGCAGTTCGAGACCTGAGTGCCGCATGACGGAGTGAGCTCCCGTCTGTGGCCCCAGTTCTTGCGCCTTGGTGTTAAGTCATGCTGGCTGGAAAAATCTTCAGACAGCACTGGCTCTTCAGCTTGGAAATGGAGATGAGCACCACCTCCTAGAGCTGGATTCACCTGGCTTTCGAGCAAGGGAAACCTTTACCTTTTATGAGGAGTACAGAGATTGCTGAAGCAGGAGGTTTAATAAAACAACAAAGAAGGTCTATGTACAGGTTATGTGGTGAATTTTCTTTAAAGCGTGTAGCTACCAGGTCCACTCATCACCAAAGACAGCCTTCACAACTCTCAGAAGTAGAGTTAAGCCTCTCTGCGATATTACCAGGGGGACCTGCGTACAAAGTTGTCTGCTCCCTAGCTGAGACAGATCCCCTTTTCTGTATGCGCTCTCCCTCAGGCAGCCTTCATTTCCCCCTGGAAGGAGATTGCATGCTAGAGCAGCACTCCCATAGGCTCAGGTATGAAAACAGCTGAGTGGTTCTTTTACCTCTTAGAGGAAGGATAGCCTCCTGTCTGTCATAGTCACCCAACAAGCTTCCATGGCAAAGTGAGAATTTGAACTTGGTCATTACACCATACTGGCTCTCATATACATACATATATATACACACACACACTCTTATACATGTACAACATGTGTACTTTGTTGTATAGAGAGTGACTGATGCATATAATTAACGCTTCTCTGGAAAATGTGACAGTGATTTGCAATTAAAATTTAACTTTCAAGTATGGTTACAATGTCTGCGTACTACAGGTGCTACAATGTCTACTATCAAATTTCCTTTACATTGTGCTAACCTTATACATGTATTTTATTGTCAGTTATACATAGACACACTTTTTCTCATATGTACAGTTTTTCAGTAGCAGGCAAGGGAAATTTGGTTGTCGGAGATACATTAATTTGTGCCCACGTAATATACATGTATAATATGTTTATCATGCGAGGGCCATAAACATTCACTTCAGGGCTTCCATGACAGTCTCTAACATCAACGGTAAAATTGGTTGAAGACTTATTGTTCTGTTGGGTGTTCCCCCAATAGCTGTTGTTGGCCTCCACTCTGGTTTTTAGTGTTACATCTGTTTATATATTTTGTTGCATTATTGTATGTATAATTTATTTCAAATGTTTTTAATGCTGAAATATTTTAATGTTTGATATACACCACTTTGGAGACCTTTTTGGGTGAAAAGGTGGTGTAAAAATGTTTTATATAAAACAGTAACTTATAAAAATCCAACAACAGAGCCCCGTATTGTGAAATCACCTAGCAGGATAAGTGTGCTCCCCCACATGGTAAAAGAGGGTTACAGTGTTAAACAAAAAAGCCCAAATGTAAAGTTAAAGACTGGGGGGAAAGGTTTTAAACCCTGACTGCAATAATTGCATTTTCACTGAGTTTTTGAAGATGAGAATACAATGACTCCCAAAGCAGCTTACAGCTACCTTCAAAATGAATACAAATGTTTTTCAAAATACACCTTTCAGTTTTATTTAATATTTACTTTAATATTCTCTTTAATATGCTTAGCACCAAATTCTGTTCATCTGTTTCCAGTGCTTATAGCTTTTTCCACAAAAGTATTTTTAAGAGTAATTTACAGTGCAGTCCTAAACAGCGTTCTATCCATCTAGATCCATTGACTTCAGTTGGTGTAGAAGAGGGTAACTGTGCTTGGAATTGTACTGTTGGATAAAAAAGGCGAACTAGTTAACATTGGAGTGAACATGAGAGGAAGTAAGAGTGCTTTTGGTGAATGGAGCTGTAATGTATAGTACAATAGATATGGATACTATGTAACATTGCAGACATTAATATAAATGATTGTAGTTATTTCCTTTTATATTTCTTGCCCCACCTTTCAGCCAAAATTTGACTCTACCTGCAGATATAATTAAAAGGTGCTTGGCAAAGTTGGCGTTAATTATAACTGGGACCCCCCCCCCCCCGTGCATGGTGGAAGAGGGCTTAGTTGCTGCTTCTCCCTCTGGCCTCAGGAATGGCAGTTTATATCTGGGAGAAGAGGACTCTTAATTGTATAGCACTGTAATGTCAGATTTTGTAATAGTGAATCCGGCTAGAGCTCCCTGGACAAAAATGAGAGAAATAATTACTTTAAATACTAATAGTGGTTATTGGGGTCATTTATATATGTACAAGAGCCCTTTCCCAACTTCCGGTTTAAGCGTTTCGCCGCTCGGACACGTCTTGTCTCACTCGGA